GGGATGAGAGGTTGATATTTGGCATTAGCCAATTAAGCAAAAAATTTAATGAGCTTGTCCTTTATCCGCTCGCCACCATTGTTAATAATAACAGCAATAGAAAAATTACTTCAATGTATTCACAAATCCTATTCAATTTAATTAATAAACTTTCACATTATTGTCAGGGTGAGAGGAGATTAACTGATGTCATAATTATATTGTTATTTTTCTGAATGGATGATTTAATATCAAGGGCGTTACTGAGGACTTTATTGTCTTGTTTACCCTCCTGTCAACCCCAAATAACAAAACATTTATTAAAAGAGATTAAAAGAGCCATCAGTCCCTTGTTAACGGGATCACAAGTTAAAGTCAGATTTTGGGTTGTTGGTGAGGCTAAATGAGCCTCACCAGAGATTCCCTCCCTAAGGGACACAACACCGAGACTGTCCGACCCTGGAGCTGGTGACCTCCCTCCCCACTCTGGGTGGAATCCACCCTGGAAGCTCCCTCTAGTCTTCACAAAGTCAAAATTCCAGTCTGAAGTTTTCACAAGGGCATTTCATCTTTTTTTTTTTCTGCAAAAATTACCACGTTTTTGACATTTCCCTTCCTACCTTTGCTGAGCACAGGGAAAGATTTTGGCCATTCCCTGCACGGACGTTTCTGGCTCTGGGGAAGCTCTTCCTGGTCTTTGAGGGCTTTTCAGCCCTTCCCACACTGATCTCCTTTGCTTCCCTTGCTCTCATTGGATCTTGGACTTGATTCCAACCTCTACCAGGTTATTCTGTGCTGCCCCAGAGATCCCGGTCTCCACTTCATCTACTTGTGTCCTCCTTCGCCTCCAAATAAAATCCCTCTTCTACGGTAGCAGAGTCATTCCTCCTGCTCTGGAATTCCGTGATCCCCTGCTTCCTTCCATTCGTGGTTTGGAGCAGCTCCTGATGGAGTAGCCCAGTGATGGGTCCTGTTCCTCCTTACCTGCCCTGTCTGGAGCATCCAGCACTGCTCCTTCCCTTCTCTCCCTGGATCCTGCCAATTCCAACTGAGTGCTTCCATAAAACACAGCTGTTCAACAATGGCAAAAGAAGATATCCCCCACCAAAATAATTCCTAACCACCTGAGCTCTGCCTGTCTGCACAGGACAAATCCCTCCCATTTAGAGCATTCCCAGACCCCCTCCAGTTACAGTTTTCTCACCACAGAACTTCACTATTTACCACAAAGTGTTGAGAATTCATGGAATTCCAAAAATTCCCTGATTGAGGGATTTTTTTCCTGTGGTTTAATAGCAACTTCCAGACTCACACAGCCCTAGGTCTGTGTGAGGGAAACTCCATCTGGTCTCCCTGTTCCCAAAATGATGAACGTGGGATCCACTTTGGGCTATCTGTATCATTAGGACAATATAAATATTCTTGCACTGGGAAACTTCAGGCTTAAAATAGGATAAACATTGGAAGAGTACCAATGTTTCACCTCTTTTCTGCAAAAAGCAAAAGGTTTTTGACATTTCTCTGCTTTCTTTTTTCTTCTCCAAGTCCTTGCTGCCTTCACTGACCACAGGCAGAGGTTGTGGTTATTCCAGGGAAGGAGAGGGGGAGAAAAGGAAAGTCTGTGGGCTACAGGCATTTTTATAAGTGTGTCTGTGTCATCCCAGCCCCAGTTCCAAGTGACTGAGGGCCCTAATTATGCAAGAACTTCAGCAGCTGGAGATCAAGATCTCTCTTGTGCTCATTTATCTCCTTCATTGGGGAAGTCATTAAATTTAAATACTGTATTTCTTCATGTGCTACTGTACAGCTCTGGCAGTACTTCTTAAATCGTCAGAAGTGCATGGATATCCTTGTTTATTCACTCCGTTCTGCCAGTGGAGCTTGCAAAGATCCTTAATATATATTTAGGATCTGGTTTACTGAGACACCCTCATGGTTTTAATAATTTTAGGTTTTGTGTTTTCTGTAGTTCTTTTTTCCTCCACTTTTCTTTTAGTTATTTTTATTTCTATTTTCTAAAGAGTTTATGGTTGCCTCGTCTCTGGAGGTGCTCAAGAACACTTTGGATGGGGCTTGGAGTGACCTGGTCTGGTGGAAGGGAGACCCTGGAGTATCCTCCAGTGCCTAAAGGGTTCCAGGAGAGCTGGAGAGGGACTGTGGACAAGAGTCTGGAGAGAAAAGACAAGAGGGAATGGTTTCCCACTTCCAGAGGGCAGGGATAGATGCAATATTGGGAAGAAATTCCTCCCAGAGAGGGTGGTGAGGCCCTGGAATGGATTTCCCAGGGGATGCTCAATTCCTGGAAGTGTCCAAGGCCAGGTTGGACAGGGCTTGGAGCAGACTGGGATAGTGGAAGGTGTCCCTGCCCACAGCAGCAACTGGATGAGCTTTAAGGTCCTTCCCAACCCAGAGCATTCAATGATCTTATTTTGAGCTGATTTAGATGATCCTGTGGGAATGTTGAGGTGTTTCCTTGAGCATCAGCCTGAGAACTGGGATTTATTAGTCCCATTTAGGGTTTGACTTGAAGGTGGACAGAGATGGATGAGGATGATGGAGTTTGGCAGGTTCCTGCCCCAGTTATGCTCAAAAAGCTCCAGTTTGGGTCTGTCTCTAAACTTCTGGGTGTTTCCAACATGTCCATCCTGGTGTTCTTCTGGTTCCTCATTGTCCACAAAAAGTCACACTCATGTCATGTCTCAGAGGCTTTTCCCGATGGGAGGAACCTCCCCACCTTTCCCACCTGCTGCAGGGACTGCTTTGGTTGGGCAGAGCAGCACAGGGGCCCTCAGTCCCTGCTCCAACAGATGCACACGGGACCCAGGATGGATCAAGTTTTGGAGGGCAATGTAAACTTATCCTTAAAATCCCAAGACAAAGAGCCAGGCTGACCCTGTGGTTGTAACACCCTGATCCCATGAAAATCCATCTCCCTGGGAAGGATGATGGATGAACCTGTGATCCCTTTGTTCCAGCTATGTCAGAAAGAGGAAGGAGCGACAGGAAGCTCTCCCTTTGTCCACAGGATGCGTGGACATCTCTTGGGATGCATCCCTGTTTCTGGAGCCAGCTTGACAGGTCCAGGTGTGGTTGGGATGTGCTGCGAAGGCTGATCCGGTGTCAGCTCTGATCACAACAGCTGCCTACACTCTGGATTACTGCACGTGGGGCGGGATGGCTGCTCTCCTTGCTCGAGCTCTGGGCTCCAGCTCTACAGAAAGCTCAGAATTCATGCCTGGTTCACTTCAGCTGCTGCACAGGGAAGGATTTTGGGATGGACACTTACCACAATGTTCCACAGGGAGCTGTGGCTGCTCACTCTCTGGGGTCACACCACTTCCTTCCATGATCCATGGGGATTACCTGGATGTTGCCCAGTGCAGCTCTGGAATAAGGCACTTGCAAAGTGGGAAGAGGAGGGGTGGAGAGGGGAATCACACTGGAACCAGCCCCAGCCCTTTGAATCACAGAATCATTCAGATTGGGATCATCAAGTCCAATGATTTCCTTGGCACTGCCAAGGCCACCATGGACCATGACCCCAAGTGCCACATCCACACATTTCTTGGACACTTCCAGGGATGAGGACTCCACCCCTGCCCTGGGCAGCTGTGCCAGGGCTGGACAACCCTTTCCAGGAAGGAATTTCCCCCAATTTCCAACCTAAACCTGGCATGATTTGAGGCCATTTCCTCTTATTCTGTCATTCATCACCCAGGAGAAGAGTCAGACCCCACCTGGCTCCAACCTTTCCAGTCTCCTTTGGGAATTCCCTTCCCTCTCCCCTGCTTTTAAAATACTGGTAATCCCACAATTTTTTAATGTTCACTGTAATTAATTCCTGCAGGAGACAGAATTCTCAGTCCAAGTCAGATTTTCATATAGGTTTATAAAAAGGGGGAAATCAGATGGAAATCTGGTTGAATTTCTTCAGGAAATGTAGATAATGGGTAAAATTTAATAAAAAAATTAGCACAGAAGGAAGATCTGAGATACCAGTTTGGCTTTTCCTGGTGTAAGGTGAGGTAGGGGATTTTAGTAGGGAAAAGTGGGTTTCTCAGCTGTTTTCCTGGAAAACACTGTGTTTGCAGGTGAGAAAAGTCTCGTTGAGCATCCACAGTCTTGTCCACCTTGAGATATTCCATCTGTTTTAATAACCTCCAGCTACAAACCCCTAATTTAGGGAATTTATGAGGCATTTTCCAAATGGAGCCAGGATTGCACAGCCCTGACCACAGAACCTCTATGTGATGGATTCTCAGCCTGGATTCATCCAGCTCCTTTGGGAGGAAGAGAATCCTGCCAGGTAAAGTCCAGCTCCTCCTAAAGTCATGTAAGGGTCAAAGAGGAGGTTCTTCCCATGGGGATGTGGTTCCAGAGGTGGTTTTGGAGGAATCACATCTCGATGACTTTTCAAGTAATTGATCCAGGCTGGAGCCTCCAAGTGGTGCTGCCAGCAGTGGAGCTTGGCTCCCAAATTCTCTTCTATATGTCCATAGTCACTGAATGTTGGAAAGGTGGAGTCTGGCACAGAAATGGGGAGAGGGATGGATCCTCCCTGTGAGAAGAAAAAGTTGCTCCTGGGATATCCTGGGGATGAGAGAAGAACAGGAATGGGAAACAAAGGGTGTAGCAGGTGCTCCTGGTGATGCAGTGAAGGGAGGTCAGCCACCCCCAAGGACCATCAAGGTCCTGTGCCCCTTGAAATACCAAAAGAAGTGGGGAAATATGGGGGAGAATGAGCTGTGGGGATGAGCAGGGGTAACTGTAATTATGGATGGAGGTTAATGAGATAAGGAGATCCGTCAGCAAAGCTCATGAGTCAGGCAGGATTTGGGGAATTTCACAACTGCCCCACCGGTGTTGGTGTTTATCTGACCTCTCTGGGCAGCCATTAATTGCTGCCTGATGAACCAAACCCAATAACAACATTAGAAACCTGCTAATTACTACGGAATGGAGATGAGCTCCTCCAGAACGTATAAAGGAGAACTTCCATACTCCTCTGGAGTAGCTGAGGATCCTTCATTCTCATTTCTCCTCCTGTTTCATCACCTCCTCCACCGGCTCTCCCACCTGGAAGTGCTGCCATGAGACGATATTTCTCCGGATATGGGGATGGGAGTTTCACTTCTTCTTCTGCTCACTGCGGGACCTTGGGTGGTGGAGACGGGAGATTCAGAGGGTTTGGGTATGGGTACGGTAGCAGGAGCCTCCACAACCTTGGAGGGTTCAGGAATGTCTATACTGGTGGAGGCTACAGAGGAGAAGGAGTAAGATATGGGAGCTGCCTTGGCTTTGGTGGCTGGAGACAACCTGAGAGAGGCTTTGGTGGAAGAGGATATTTCGTGGGAGGTTTTCAGAGTGGTACAACAGGGCTTGGTGGCACCTACAGAGAAAGTTCAGGCAGGGAGGTACTCAGAGGAGGCCTTGGCATAGGGGAACAAGGGGCTGGACAGGGACTGGGACAGGCTGGAGTTCTCCGAGGCATTGAGGAGGTCCATGTCAACACCAACCTGCTGAGGCCAATACAGCTCCAGGTGGACCCTGAGTTCCAGCGAGCGCGCTCAGATGAGAGGGAGCAGATCAAAGCTCTCAACAACAAATTTGCATCATTCATCGAGAAGGTGAGTCCTGCTCTCTGTGCTGTTATCTCTGTGCTGGAAGGGGGAGGTATAAGGTAGGTGTTAGTCATGGGGACACCTTCATGTCAAAATCACAGCATTGGCTGAATTCCCACAGGCTGCTGTGAAGCTCACAATGCATCCCTGTAAATGCCGCTGGGTGAATCAGTTTTTGCCTTGCGATAAAGATCTCAGAGTTGTCTTTTGTGGCAGGACAGTAAACTGCTGAGATGACACCGGCACATAAACTCACTTCTCTTTTGAGGAAAGTGGTTTCTGGGAATATATATATATATATATATATTCTGGTGCCTGTATGTTGTTGATGCCAGCAGGAAAAATGGATGAGGGACTTGTACATCTTGATGAGTTAGTTTTTTTTCTCAAGCAAAGCCAAACCTTGCAAGAACAGGCTGTTTTAATGCCTCTTCTTGCAGGGGTTTGCACTTAGCAGAAATTGCAAGTGAATTCAATTTCTCTGAATTATTAAACAAATCACTTCTTGGTTTGGAAGCCCTGCCGTCTACTAGATTGTCCATCTTCAGCTTTTTCATTACTTTCCATCTCTCCAGTTTTGTCTTCTCTTCTGCATCTACTCAAACCAGCCTCAAAGGCTCTTCCACCCCGGTGGTATCTGGGAGGTGCCTCTGTCTCTGCTTCTCTCTTTTACATGTGGGGACTTCAGGGTTTCCTATTTCACTGGGCAGGGAGCGTTGGTTACACTGAGGAGGTTTAAGATTCCATAATCCTGAAAAATTAGCGTGTCTGTGACTCTTCTTTCCTTCCTAAACTATTGGGTGTCCAGGTTATCACCTGGTCAATATTACAGAAATTGTGGAGTGATTTGGATTGGGAGGGACCTTAAAGCTCATCCAGTTGCTGCCATGGGCAGGGACACCTTCCACTATCCCAGTCTGCTCCAAGCCCTGTCCAACCTGGCCTTGGACACTTCCAGGAATTGAGCATCCCCTGGGAAATCCATTCCAGGGCCTCACCACCCTCTCTGGGAGGAATTTCTTCCCAACATTGCATCTATCCCTGCCCTCTGGAAGTGGGAAGCCATTCCCTCCTGTCTTTTCTCTCCAGACTCTTGCCCCAGTCCCTCTCCAGCTCTCCAGGAGCCCTTTAGGCACCGTAAGGGACTCCAGGGTCTCCTTTCCCTTCTCCTCTTCAGGTGAGCACCCCCAGCTCTCTCAGCCTGTCTCCGTGGCAGAGATGCCAGCTGGATACATTCAGCCCCTCTGCATCTGCTTCACCTTCCAGGTTCAATGTCTGGAGCGGCAGAATCAGGCACTCTTGGCCAAGTGGGAACTTCTGCAGCAGCAGAGCTCTGGCCCCAAGGAGAGCAGGAACATCAACAGCTTCTTCCAGTCCTACATCACCAACCTGCAGCGGCAGCTTGAGACCCTCCAGAGCCAGAAGGAGCAGCTGGATCCCGAAGCCTACAACATGCTCCAGCTTGTTGAGGATTATAAAAACAGGTGAATAGTCACAAATCTGGGAAAACAGGTGCTGGGATTTTCCTAGGTGATGCTCATTGTGCCCTTGGATGGCAAAGCTCAGCTTTGCATCTGCAGGAGTTTGGAGTTTCTTAGCCCTGCTCTGCTGCAGGCGCATTATGGGGTTTGACTGTGATGCTGGAAGAGTCTGGTAAGGGTTGAATTCCCAAAAATCAGAGGAAAATCAAAGTTTGAGATGATCTCTCCCATCCTCTTTCCTTGCTGGACTCCTCCTTTTGTTTCCCCCCCGTAGCAGTGAGTGACCCAAGATTCCACTTGCGGGGCCCTGGTGGGAAGGGACAGAGCTGAGCTTGGGATGAAGTTGGGAAGAGTTGTTACCTTTTCTGGCTTAGATAATTTATGTCCACCCACAGCTCTGTAAAATGGAAAGTTTAGTTCAGAATTGCTAAATGTAGAATTTATCTGTATTGACCCCATTTTTTGGGCTGTTTTAGTGCCTGTTTTTGTAGAGGGTTTGCACTTGCCAGAAATTGCAATTAAGGTGAAATGATGATTCTGTTGTTTACTGGTCCACCTGACTTAACAATTAAGATCAATAATTAAAGGTAATGGATAGATAAATTAAATAGATTAATTAATAATAGATAATAGATAATAATCTACCTCCTTCTGTCCTCCAGATTCGAGGACGAGATCAACAAACGCACATCCAAGGAGGAGGAATTTGTGGAGCTTAAAAAGGTGAATTAACCTGAGATCCTGAGCAAATCAAAGTCTTGGAAATAAAACAATACCTGGGTGGTTGCCAAGGTTCTCAAAAGCTGAAGTTTTTGCTGAGCTTTTTCTAATTTTAACCAAAGTAACTGAAAACCAGAACAAGACTGAGGAGTGAGTATTTCATCTAGAGAATGAATTGGTCCTTTGTAGGACAAATATCTAAAAAGTGCTGGGTTTTCCCTATTCTCTCAATCCCAATCCAGGTGTAATATTGTTATCAAGTTAAATAATGTCTGTAGATGGCTTAGAAAAATAAAGCTATCTGTGAAGAGAAAACTTTTTACTAGAAGGATGAATAAAAATTGTGTTTTCCCATTTCTCATATTCCCCAGGAACAGATTTATTGCTGCAGCCATGGTACTCACTTCCCAGACAATTTTTCAATTTTAAATGCTTTCCCTTTGTTCCCCTTGCTTTTCAAAAGAAATCTGAGCTCTCTAGGCCATTATTTGATCCCAGAAATGCAGGCTTTATGGAAATATCCCAAGAATTGCATTTCAGTGGAGCATTTGGGTCAACAAAATGCAATTATTAAAATATTTTGGTGGGTTTTTTTTTGTTTTTTTTTTTTCAGGAACTGGATAGTGCCTACATGGGAAAAATGGAGTTTGAGGTCCGAGTGGATATCCTGAGGCAGGAGTTGGAGTTCCTTCGGTGTTTATATGAAGCTGTGAGTGATTCAAATCTTACCCTCAGGTCTTGAAGGACACGCCTTCTGGAGATTCCCAGAAATTTTGCTTGGGTGGAATTTTTTGGCTTGGAGAATTAATTATCCTTGGCCTTTTGTGATTGAAAAGGAGTCTGGTCTAAGTTGTGTCATGAAGGCTAGAAGACCTTGCAAATTACAAGTGGTACCTGGGGGCTGCAGGTGAAGAAATTCCAGTGGGAAATTGGCCACAATGTCCCATTTTTTCCTTATAAAGACCTGGAGTGACCACAAGGACTGTTAAAATCCCTAATCTGGTTTTTCCTGCAGGAGCTGTCCCAGCTGCAAACAGTTGTTGGTAACGTTGATGTTATTCTGTCCATGGACAACCAAAGGGACCTGAACATGGATGGAATCATCGAGGAAGTCAGGCGGGAATACGAGGGGATGGCCCACAGGAGCACAGCTGAAGTGGATGCCATGTACCGGGGCAGAGTGAGTGGACAGCAGGGAAACAGGAACACAAATCTCCTCATTGGAAAAGAAACCAAAAATGTTTCTTTGTTGTGTCCTCTTCCCATCAGTACCAAGACCTGCAGAACATGTGGGTGAGTCAACGAGAGCAACTGAGGAACAGTCACCAGGAAATCCAGGAACTTGCCAGGCAGATCCAAAGACTCCAACCAGAAATTGAAATCACAAGGAAAAGGGTAAAGTTGATACTTTCCAGCAGGACTAAATGGTTTAAGCCCCATTTCCATGAGACCTCAAGGCAGTATGTAGCAGCCAGTCATTTGGAGGCAAAATTAGGGATGGAGTTTTCTCTTCCAATTGAAGCAGATTTAGATTTTTGGGATCTATATTGGGGGTTAATTGTGTTAGTTTACCCAGTCAAATGTACTTTTGCTGTTCTGTCACTGAGGAAAGCCTTTTGATTTCCAAGGAATGCCAGGAGGGTGTGAAAATTATGGGATTTGGGGGTTTTCCTGTGCTGGGATAGGTGCTGGACTCAATGATTCCTGTGGTTCCCTCCTGACTATGGATATTCCATTATTCTATTATAAATTCTCCCCACAGGTGGGACACGGTCACATTCCCTTTTTTCCCTCTGCAGAATTCCAGCCTCCAGGACGCTGTTAAAGATGCTGAGCACCGTGGGAGCTCAGCAGTCAGGGACGGCCAGGAAAAGCTAGAGGAGCTGGAAAATGCCCTCCAACAGGCCAAGGATGACCTTTCTCAGCTTGTGCATGATTACCAGGAGCTCCTGAATGTGAAGCTGGGCCTGGACATTGAGATAGCCATGTATCGATCACTCCTTGAAGAGGAGGAGAACAGGTGGGGGCAAAATCCATCCTGGGTGAAACACCAGACAACGCAGCATGTCCATGGATCTGTCCCTGGGATCTCTGGGATGCACTGGGCCTGGGAGGAGTCACCTTTCTGCAGATCATTGATAAAGCCTAACCTGAATTTTAATTCTGATTTTATTGGCTGCCTTACTTCAATGTTACTTTCCCTCCACAGGATCCAGGAAGGATCACCAGCCACGATCTGTGAGTATCACAAGGATTTTCTCAGGGTTTTTAAGGAAAACTGCTCCTACTTTGTGGTCTTGACACCGCTGGAACAAACTATCCCAGTTCCCATCTTAATTCAGGAAAGGATGCAAAGGGGGGTTAGTGAACACACATTAATATAACAACTGGATTTAGAATTATTGGCTAATTCCTAATAAATCTGGAGGAAATGGGAAACACCACATTTAACCCACAGGTCTCTTTCATGCAGGACAGAAGGAAAGGAAATAAAAACTAATCCTAAAATTTGTGGAAAAGTTGAGGAAGCTGAAGAAGAGACAAACAGTCTTGGCCTTTGTAAAGGATAGGCTGCACTGGGTGTTCATGGGTGAAATAAGACATAAATTATATATATAAAAAAAAAAAAAAGCTAAAAACCCCAGAAAAATGAGAAAATATTCCATAGGTTGTTGTCTACTATGGGAGATTCTTGTTGGCCCCTTCAAAGATAAGTCCAAGACCACTGGGGTAGGAAGGATGATGCTTAAATCAGCCCTGCTCTGAATTTTTTGCTTAAAAAGTGTAAATTGAATGTATTTTCCATTTCTTGCAGGTGTCATTGACTACAATGCCAGAGCTTCTGGAGTCTTTGGAGGCATACAAAGTGTGCAGGGGAGAATGAGTTCTGGTGGTACCAGTGGGAGCGGAATGAAAGGGCCAGTCTCTGGAGGGGGAAAAGGTGGAAGCTCTGGAGGGGGTGGATCCTGCTCTGGTGGAGGTGGTTCCATCTCTGGAGGTGGAAAAGGCTCAAGATATGGAGGAGGAGGAAGCTCTGGCAGTGGAGGCTCCATCTGTGGAGGAGGAGGAAGCTCTGGCAGTGGAGGCTCCATGTCCAAGGGTGGCAGCAGCTCTGGAGGGTGGGGGTCCAGCTCTGGTGGTGGTGGTTCCATGTCTGGAGGAGGAAAAGGTTCAGGATATGGAGGAGGAGGAAGCTCTGGCAGTGGAGGCTCCATCTGTGGAGGAGGAGGAAGCTCTGGCAGTGGAGGCTCCATGTCCAAGGGTGGAAGCAGCTCTGGAGGGTGGGGGTCCAGCTCTGGTGGTGGTGGTTCCATGTCTGGAGGAGGAAAAGGTTCAGGATATGGAGGAGGAGGAAGCTCTGGCAGTGGAGGCTCCATCTGTGGAGGAGGAGGAAGCTCTGGCAGTGGAGGCTCCATGTCCAAGGGTGGAAGCAGCTCTGGAGGGTGGGGGTCCAGCTCTGGTGGTGGTGGTTCCATGTCTGGAGGAGGAAAAGGTTCAGGATATGGAGGAGGAGGAAGCTCTGGCAGTGGAGGCTCCATCTGTGGAGGAGGAGGAAGCTCTGGCAGTGGAGGCTCCATGTCCAAGGGTGGCAGCAGCTCTGGAGGGTGGGGGTCCAGCTCTGGTGGTGGTGGTTCCATGTCTGGAGGAGGAAAAGGTTCAGGATATGGAGGAGGAGGAAGCTCTGGCAGTGGAGGCTCCATCTGTGGAGGAGGAGGAAGCTCTGGCAGTGGAGGCTCCATGTCCAAGGGTGGCAGCAGCTCTGGAGGGTGGGGGTCCAGCTCTGGTGGTGGTGGTTCCATGTCTGGAGGAGGAAAAGGTTCAGGATATGGAGGAGGAGGAAGCTCTGGCAGTGGAGGCTCCATCTGTGGAGGAGGAGGAAGCTCTGGCAGTGGAGGCTCCATGTCCAAGGGTGGAAGCAGCTCTGGAGGGTGGGGGTCCAGCTCTGGTGGTGGTGGTTCCATGTCTGGAGGAGGAAAAGGTTCAGGATATGGAGGAGGAGGAAGCTCTGGCAGTGGAGGCTCCATCTGTGGAGGAGGAGGAAGCTCTGGCAGTGGAGGCTCCATGTCCAAGGGTGGCAGCAGCTCTGGAGGGTGGGGGTCCAGCTCTGGTGGTGGTGGTTCCATGTCTGGAGGAGGAAAAGGTTCAGGATATGGAGGAGGAGGAAGCTCTGGCAGTGGAGGCTCCATGTCCAAGGGTGGCAGCAGCTCTGGAGGGTGGGGGTCCAGCTCTGGTGGTGGTGGTTCCATGTCTGGAGGAGGAAAAGGTTCAGGATCTGGAGGGGGTGTATCCAGTTCAGGTAGTGGAGGCTCCATATCCAAGGGCGGCAGCAGCTCTGGAGGTGGAGGATCCAGCTGTGGAGGTGGAAAAGGCTCAGGATCTGGAGGACAAGGAAGCTCTGGCAGTGGAGGTTCCATGTCTGGAGGCGGCCAGAGCTCCGGTGGTTACGGATCTGGCTCTGGAAGGTGCAGCCCCCAGAGTGGGGGGATGAGCTCTGGAGGTGGGAGCAGCTGTGGCAGGAGGGGCTCCATGTCTGGAGGTGGAGGACAAGGAAGTTCTGGCGGTGGAGGTTCCATGTCTGGAGGCGGCCAGAGCTCTGGTGGCCATGGATCTGGTTCTGGCAGTTGCAGCTCCCACAGTGGGGGGATGAGCTCTGGAGGTGGAAGCAGCTGTGGTAGGAGGGGCTCCATGTCTGGAGGTGGAGGACAAGGAAGTTCTGGCAGTGGAGGTTCCATGTCTGGAGGCGGCCAGAGCTCCGGTGGTTACGGATCTGGTTCTGGCAGTTGCAGCTCCCAGAGTGGGGGGATGAGCTCTGGAGGTGGGAGCAGCTGTGGCAGGAGGGGCTCCATGTCAGGATCTGGAGGACAAGGAAGCTCTGGTGGTGGAGGTTCCATGTCTGGAGGCGGCCAGAGCTCTGGCGGTCATGGATCTGGTTCTGGCAGTTGCAGCTCCCACGGTGGGGGGATGAGCTCTGGAGGTGGGAGCAGCTGTGGCAGGAGGGGCTCCATGTCTGGATGTGGAGGACAAGGAAGCTCTGGAGGTGGAGGTTCCATGTCTGGAGGCAGCCAGAGCTCTGGTGGTCATGGATCAGGCTCTGGCAGTTGCAGCTCCCACAGTGGGGGGATGAGCTCTGGAGGTGGGAGCAGCTGTGGCAGGAGGGGCTCCATGTCAGGATCTGGAGGACAAGGAAGTTCTGGCGGTGGAGGTTCCATGTCTGGAGGCAGCCAGAGCTCTGGTGGTCATGGATCTGGTTCTGGCAGTTGCAGCTCCCACAGTGGGGGGATGAGCTCTGGAGGTGGGAGCAGCTGTGGCAGGAGGGGCTCCATGTCAGGATCTGGAGGACAAGGAAGCTCTGGTGGTGGAGGTTCCATGTCTGGAGGCGGCCAGAGCTCTGGCGGTCATGGATCTGGTTCTGGCAGTTGCAGCTCCCACGGTGGGGGGATGAGCTCTGGAGGTGGGAGCAGCTGTGGCAGGAGGGGCTCCATGTCTGGAGGTGGAGGACAAGGAAGCTCTGGAGGCGGAGGTTCCATGTCTGGAGGCAGCCAGAGCTCTGGTGGTCATGGATCAGGCTCTGGCAGTTGCAGCTCCCACAGTGGGGGGATGAGCTCTGGAGGTGGGAGCAGCTGTGGCAGGAGGGGCTCCATGTCAGGATCTGGAGGACAAGGAAGTTCTGGCGGTGGAGGTTCCATGTCTGGAGGCAGCCAGAGCTCTGGTGGTCATGGATCTGGTTCTGGCAGTTGCAGCTCCCACAGTGGGGGGATGAGCTCTGGAGGTGGGAGCAGCTGTGGCAGGAGGGGCTCCATGTCAGGATCTGGAGGACAAGGAAGCTCTGGCGGTGGAGGTTCCATGTCTGGAGGCGGCCAGAGCTCTGGTGGCCATGGATCAGGCTCTGGCAGTTGCAGCTCCCAGAGTGGGGGGATGAGCTCTGGAGGTGGGAGCAGCTGTGGCAGGAGGGGCTCCATGTCTGGAGGAGGACAAGGAAGCTCTGGCAGTGGAGGTTCCATGTCTGGAGGCGGCCAGAGCTCTGGCGGTCATGGATCTGGTTCTGGAAGTTGCAGCTCCCACAGTGGGGGGATGAGCTCTGGAGGTGGGAGCAGCTGTGGCAGGAGGGGCTCCATGTCTGGAGGTGGAGGACAAGGAAGTTCTGGCAGTGGAGGTTCCATGTCTGGAGGCGGCCAGAGCTCTGGTGGTCATGGATCTGGTTCTGGCAGTTGCAGCTCCCACAGTGGGGGGATGAGCTCTGGAGGTGGGAGCAGCTGTGGCAGGAGGGGCTCCATGTCTGGAGGTGGAGGACAAGGAAGTTCTGGCAGTGGAGGTTCCATGTCTGGAGGCAGCCAGAGCTCTGGTGGTCATGGATCTGGTTCTGGCAGTTGCAGCTCCCACAGTGGGGGGATGAGCTCTGGAGGTGGGAGCAGCTGTGGCAGGAGGGGCTCCATGTCTGGAGGTGGACAAGGAAGTTCTGGCAGTGGAGGTTCCATGTCTGGAGGCGGCCAGAGCTCCGGTGGTTACGGATCTGGCTCTGGAAGGTGCAGCTCCCACAGTGGGGGGATGAGCTCTGGAGGTGGGAGCAGCTGCGGCAGGAGGGGCTCCATGTCTGGAGGTGGAGGACAAGGAAGTTCTGGCAGTGGAGGTTCCATGTCGGGAGGCGGCCAGAGCTCTGGCGGTCATGGATCTGGTTCTGGCCGTTGCAGCTCCCACAGTGGGGGGATGAGCTCTGGAGGTGGGAGCAGCTGTGGCAGGAGGGGCTCCATGTCTGGAGGTGGAGGACAAGGAAGTTCTGGCAGTGGAGGTTCCATGTCTGGAGGCGGCCAGAGCTCTGGTGGTCATGGATCTGGTTCTGGCAGTTGCAGCTCCCACAGTGGGGGGATGAGCTCTGGAGGTGGGAGCAGCTGTGGCAGGAGGGGCTCCATGTCAGGATCTGGAGGACAAGGAAGCTCTGGCGGTGGAGGTTCCATGTCTGGAGGCGGCCAGAGCTCTGGTGGTCATGGATCTGGTTCTGGCAGTTGCAGCTCCCACAGTGGGGGGATGAGCTCTGGAGGTGGGAGCAGCTGTGGCAGGAGGGGCTCCATGTCTGGAGGTGGAGGACAAGGAAGCTCTGGCAGTGGAGGTTCCATGTCTGGAGGTGGCCAAACTGCTGGAGGAGGGGGGTCCAGCTCTGGCAGTTGCAGCCCCCACAGTGGGGGGATGAGCTCTGGAGGCTGGAGCAGTTCTGGCAGGAGAGGCTCCATGTCTGGAGGTGGAGGAAGCTCAGGTTATGGAGGATCCAGTTACGGCAGTGGTGGATCCAGTTATGGCAGTGGCGGCTGCATTGGTGGAGGAGAGGGGGGCTCTAGGTATGGAGGGAGCTCAAGCAGGAGAGGCTCCATGTCTGGAGGTGGATCCAGCTCTGGTGGATATGGATCAGGCTCTGGCAGTTGCAGCCCCCACAGTGGAGGGATGAGCTCTGGAGGCTGGAGCAGTTCTGGCAGAAGAGGCTCCATGTCTGGAGGTGGTCACAGCTCTGGTGGATATGGATCAGGCTCTGGTAGTGGCAGTTGCAGCCCCCATAGTGGGGGGATGAGCTCTGGCAGCTGGAGTAGCTCTGGCAGGAGAGGCTCCATGTCTGGAGAAGGAGGAAGCTCAGGTCATGGAGGATCCAGTTATGGCAGCAGTGGGTGCACTGGTGGGAGAGAAGGAGGTTCAGGGTATGGAGGGAGCTCAGGATATGGAGGTGGCTCTTGCACGAGGGGCTCCATGTCTGGTGGTGGTTCCAGCTCTGGAGGGCTGGGATCGGGATCTGGCAGTGGTGGGAGCAGCTCTGGAGGAGGAATCAGCTCTGGGTATGGAGGAAGCTCAGGCAGTGGTGGATCAAGCTCTGGCTGTATTGGTGGTGGGGATGGGGGTTCAGGGTATGGAGGGAGCTCAAGCAGGAGAGGCTCCATGTCTGGGGGTGGTTCCAGCTCAGGTGGATATGGATCAGGCTCTGGCAGTTGCAGCCCCCATAGTGGGGGGATGAGCTCTGGAGGCTGGAGCAGTTCTGGCAGAAGAGGCTCCATGTCTGGAGGTGGAGGAAGCTCAGGTTATGGAGCATCCAGTTATGGCAGTGGTCGGTCCATTGGTGGGGGAGAAGGAGGAAGCGCAGGGTATGGAGGAGGAAGCTCCGGCAGGAGAGGCTCCATCTCTGGTGGTGGGGAAGGAGGAGGAAGCTATGGCAGTGGTGGATCCAGTTATGGCAGTGGTGGATCCAGTTATGGCAGTGGCGGCTGCACTGGTGGAGGAGAGGGGGGCTCAGGGTACGGAGGAACAGGAAGCTCAGTCCGAAGAGGCTCCATGTCTGGAGGTGGTCACAGCTCTGGAGGGCTGGGATCAGGATCTGGCAGTGGTGGGAGCAGCTCTGGAGGAGGAATCAGCTCTGGGTATGAAGGAAGCTCAGGCAGTGGTGGATCAAGCTCTGGCTGTATTGGTGGTGGAGATGGGGGTTCAGGATATGGAGGGAGCTCAAGCAGGAGAGGCTCCATATCTGGAGGTGGTCACAGCTCTGGTGGATATGGATCAGGCTCTGGCAGTTGCAGCCCGCACAGTGGGGGGATGAGCTCTGGAGGCTGGAGCAGTTCTGGCAGGAGAGGCTCCATGTCTGGAGGTGGAGGAAGCTCAGGTTATGGAGGATCCAGTTACGGCAGTGGTGGATCCAGTTATGGCAGCGGCGGCTGCATTGGTGGAGGAGAGGGGGGCTCAGGGTACGGAGGAACAGGAAGCTCAGGCCGAAGAGGCTCCATGTCTGGAGGTGGTCACAGCTCAGGTGGATATGGATCAGGCTCTGGCAGTGGCAGTGGCAGCTCCCATAGTGGGCATATGAGCTCTGGCAGCTGGAGTGGCTCTGGCAGGAGAGGCTCCATGTCTGGAGAAGGAGGAAGCTCAGGTCATGGAGGATCCAGTTATGGCAGCAGTGGGTGCACTGGTGGGGGAGAAGGAGGTTCAGGGTATGGCGGGAGCTCAGGATATGGAGGTGGCTCTTGCACGAGCGGCTCCATGTCTGGTGGTGGTTCCAGCTCTGGAGGGCTGGGATCGGGATCTGGCAGTGGTGGGAGCAGCTCTGGAGGAGGAATCAGCTCTGGGTATGGAGGAAGCTCAGGCAGTGGTGGATCAAGCTCTGGCTGTATTGGTGGTGGGGATGGGGGTTCAGGGTATGGAGGGAGCTCAAGCAGGAGAGGCTCCATGTCTGGGGGTGGTTCCAGCTCAGGTGGATATGGATCAGGCTCTGGTACTGGCAGTTGCAGCCCCCACAGTGGGGGGATGAGCTCTGGCAGCTGGAGTGGCTCTGGCAGGAGGGGCTCCATGTCTGGAGGTGGTTCCAGCTCTGGTGGATATGGATCAGGCTCTGGCAGTTGCAGCCCGCACAGTGGGGGGATGAGCTCTGGAGGCTGGAGCAGTTCTGGCAGGAGAGGCTCCATGTCTGGAGGTGGTGCCAGCTCAGGTGGATATGGATCAGGCTCTGGCAGTTGCAGCCCCCACAGTGGGGGCATGAGCTCTGGCAGCTGGAGTAGCTCTGGCAGGAGAGGCTCCATGTCTGGAGAAGGAGGAAGCTCAGGTCATGGAGGATCCAGTTATGGCAGCAGTGGGTGCATTGGTGGTGGAGAAGGAGGCTCAGGGTATGGAGGGAGCTCAAGCTATGGAGGTGGCTCTGGGAGGAGAGGTTCCATCTCTGGTGGTGGGGAAGGAGGAGGAAGTTATGGCAGTGGTGGATCCAGTTATGGCAGTGGCGGCTGCACTGGTGGAGGAGAGGGGGGCTCAGGATACGGAGGAGGGTCGGGATATGGGGGATTCTCTGGATATGGTGGAGGCTCAGCGTATGGAGGGGGAAGCTCAGGCAGGAGAGGATCAATCTCTGGAGGAAGAAGAAGCTCCATCTCTGGAGTTTGGGGATCAAGCTCTGCTGGCACCTGCAGGCCTGGCAGTGGAGGGGAAGGAGGTTGGGATTGCTCTGGAGGGGACAGTTGTTACGGAGGTGGGACCTGTGTAGATGCCAGCTGCAGAGATGCGACTGAGGAATGCAGGTCGGGAGAAGCGTGGTCTTCTCCAAGCCCAGGTTCCTGGTCTGCCTATGGAAGTGGCTCTGTTTCCCCCGGAGATGCTGCCCACAAGTAAAACTTGAATGCAAAATCTCAGCAGTGGAACAGGATGAAGCCATTCCCTCATTGTCGGAGGCAATGGGATTTTCCTGCTGTCAGCATTAGTCTGGATGGGCTGTGCATCATCCTGAGCTCTCCCTGCACAACCATCCTGGAGTCTCCATCCCACTCCTCTGCTGGATGCTGATATTGTGATGGTGTACCTTCCTTGGGCTTTCTCAGAGCTTTTAATCTCAGGCTGTGTGGAACCTTTATCTTTGACTACTAAAAGCTTGAAACCCTGTCTGGTGTGTTTGTTTTGATCTGGGGAGGGCAGGACTCTGATGTCTCTGATGAGATCTTTGATAGAACTTTCCATGTAAATGAATCATGGAAATCTGATCCAACCACAGGAAAAAGTTCCGGGAAAAAGTGAAAAAGTAGAAGAAGGTGTCTGGAAAAGAATGACAAATGAAGATCATCTGCTGTAAAAATGGGATTTAGGGCCAAGTCTTGTATGTCTGGTCTGACCAGTCAGCCAGGACACATGGCTACACCTCAGATCCATCATTCCCTCTAGGAGTCACTCATTAAATAACTTGGGGGCAGATCCTCTGTATAGCTTTTTTTTTCTGTCACTGCAGCTGCAGATGAAGAAAGGAGCAGAAAGTCTGGGAATAACAAAGTCTCATCTCGCTTTTGGTTCAGTTTTCCCCCTGCAGTCCCAAGTTAAGGTGAGATAGGGTGTACTTGAGGAAAATTTTCTTGGCCAACATCTGATTTTGGGGTTTTTCCTGCTCAGAGTTTGAGTTGGACTTGATGATTGTTGTGTGTCACTTCCAACTCAGGATATTCCATGATTCTGTGATCTTATTCAGTGATGATTTTTATCACAGGAAGCAAGATATTCCCTAAATTTCTCCCAGAACCTCCTTAAAGTCCAATAAAAAGTTCTAACGAAGCACAGAGAAGCTGATTTTATGTCGAAAGTTTGTTCAAGAAGCTCAATTTAATAATGTCACTCTTGTTTAGCAACACTCCACTAAGACATCTGGAGTGTCCCAATCCCATTTGGAATATTTAATGTCCTTTCCCCAGCTTGAGGGAAGGGGATCCTCTCTTTTGGAAGGAATTCCAACTGTGAAGAGTCCTGGGAGAGGCAGGAGGGTGATGAGGAGAGACCCAAGTTTCTGGGAAATCCACTGTGGAGACCCTTTTGCAAAGGGCTGTAGACCCACAAAACCAACCACAGAATGTCAATGGAGCTATGGAACTATTTTGATAGGAAGTGATCTTTAATAGTTATTTTCCTTCATTGAGGGCTCCAATAGAGCTGGAGAGGGATTTGGAAAGAAGTGATGGGACAAAGGGTGGGTTAGGGGACAGAAGAGGGGAAGGTTAAGCGGGACATTGAGAAGAAGTTCTTCCCTGTGAGGGTGGTGAGGCGTTGGAATGGATTTCCCGAAGGATCCCCCATCCTTGGAAGTGTCCAGAGCCAGGCTGGATGGGGCTTGGAGCAGCCTGGGATAGTGGAAGGTGTCTGCCCATGGCAGAGAGTGGAACAGGATGAGCTTTTAAGGTCCCTCCTATCCCAACTGTCTCGGTTTACAAGACAGGTGTCTGCTAGGGCAGACAGCAAGCCTCCCTTAGAATGGAGAATGTAGACCCCCCCCCCCCCTCTGAATTATAATTTTGAAATTAAAGGGCTTTCAGGCAAAGATATAGGAATAAGAATAGCAGTTCTTTACCAGTGTGTATTGAAATAAATGGGCAAGGAGACCAGCTCCTTCTGGATGCCTTTATTAATGTGATCAGCTCTGGGTGGGGGCCCGAGGGGTCTGCACACTGCCACTGCTCCATTTGGCGATGCAGAGGAGGAGGAGAACAGTTGTGCTTCACAGAAGCAGAACTGGGGCTTCCGTCCTCATGGGTGTGCCTTGTTTAGGGTCCTCACTGTAGCTCAGTTCTATTTAGGTCACAGAAACATCTAAAACCTTGGTGGAGTAGGAGGACTCCCCGCCAGTAGGACCAGTTACTTAGCTTTTCAAGTTTTGAGTTGGCTCGTTGTTTCTAGGGTCTTTTGTTGGATTTTCTTTAATGTTTCTTAATTTGTATATTTCCTGGGAATTTTACGCAGTGCCATTTTTGGGGAGCAGCGGAGGCAATGCCCGGACGGATGCAGCAAGGGTATAGATAAGGGATTTTAACAGGGGATTAACAGTGGGGGTAACTTAAAGGTTTAACCTCTAACAACAATTTTAATTAACATAATTAACTTATTATAACAGTTAAGGTCATTAACAGCTCTATTTTCATTAACCAATGAACTTGTTCATAACATGTATAATAAAGCAAACAAATAACAGCTACAGCATTAACAACAAACAGAAGCAGAACCCAGTCCCAGCCTTTGGGCCACAGCACCTTCCCCGGTGGTGCAGTTCCGATGATCCCCACGCGGTCCAAAGGCGGGAAGTGATTGAGGAGAGGCTGCGCTGCACAAACCCCTGGTGAAATGAACAGTGCTAATGCCCTTATTAAGGTTCAGCTCTTAATTAAAAGGTCAGCTGGGCAGGGGGCCCGACCCAGAGCTCACCCCCTCGGCCCCCTGTTGTAGCTTTTCCAGGTAGTCAAAGGGGAAGAAGGCATGCAGAGTCTGTCCCTGAAGTCTTCATGGCACACTGGTAGCTGAAGGGTGAAGAGGTGTGCAGTCTGCAGCTGAAATGCAGAACAGCAGCTGTCCCATCTCCTTTCCTCCTGGTAACACCAGGAAGAGCTGCGTCTTTGTTCCTGCTTCCCACAGGCCAGTCCAGTCTGGTCCTCTGCAGGCTATGGTGACATCGATCAGGGATGTGGTTCCCTTTTCCCCAGCCAGTGCACCCGTCCAGCCCCCTCCACTGTGCCCAGCTCTCCATTTAGGGGTGTTTTCATCCCCAAAACCCCCTCCCATGATTCCACAGGTTCCCCTATTTGCATCCCAGTCCTAGAATGGCAGTGTGAGTGGGGGATGTAGGTGATCCCCAGGTGATTTAGCAAAAACAAACAGAGCAATTAGATAATTAACATTTTAATATCAGTACTTAGCTCGAGCCAGCAGTGTCCCAGTATTGCCATGAGAACCAGGAAGACTCTTGTTCATTACAAACCCCTGGTGAAATGAACAGGGCTAATGCCCTTATTAATGTTCAGCTCTTTATTAAAAGGTCAGCTGCGCAGGGGGCTCAGCATGGAGCTCACCCCACTGTTGTAGCTTTTCCAGGTAGCCGAGAAGGCGTGCAGAGTCTGTCGCTGAAGTCCCGATCAGCAGCTGTCCCCTCTCCTTTCCTTGTGGTAACACTAGGAAGATCTTTCTTTCTTCCTGCTTCCTACAGCTCATTCTAGTCTAGTCTTCCATAGGTGATGGTGACAGGTCAAACTTTGATCAGGGGATGTGTTTCTTTCTTCTTTAGCCAGGGTACCTGTCTAGCCCCCTCTACTGTGTTTAGTTCTCCATTTAGGTGTGTCTTCATCCCCTAAAAAACGCTCCTATTGAAATGAACAGGGTATATGCCTTTATTAATAGTCAGCTCTTTATTAAAAAGTCAGCTCGGCAGGGGGCTCAACAAGGAGCTCGCCCCCGCTGTTGTAGCTTCTCCGGTAGCCAAAGGGTGAGGAAGGGTGAGCAGGCATGCAGAGTCTGTCCCTGGAGTCCCCGTGGCACGCTGGTAGCTGGAGGTGAAGAGGTGTGCAGTCCGTATCTGAAGTCCCA